CATTTTTAATAGTAAAAAACAATTTATTATATTTTATAATATATATTATTAGTAATAAACATTTTTTTAAATACTTATTTAATTTTTTAAATATATTATAAATTTTTTTAATTAACATTAATTTTTTTAAAAAAAGCACGATATTTTTTAAAACGTATTTTTTTTTATTTTTTTTTATTATTTTAACGTAATTAAATTAAATTTTTTATTAAATTACATAACGATTTTATTAACGCGTTTTTTTAAAGCTTTTTTTTTTTACTTTTATAAACAGTTTAAAGCAATATAGTTAATTTTACGGCAAATAAAACATTATTTTTTATAAACTAGCTTTTTTGCTTTTTTTGCAATAAATTATAAATAATTAAACTTATTTTTTTTAAGTTATAAAGTTAAAATAAAACTAAAACTTAAATTAAAATTATTTAAGTTTTATTTTTTTTATTAAAACTTACTTTTTAAAATATTACTTTTAACTATTTAAACTTGTTTAAAAAATAATAAAATATTAAAAATTAAGTAAGTATATTTGTTAAAAATTATATTTTTATTATTATAAGCTATTATAAAGTTAATTTACAACGTAATAATAAGCTTTTAACAAAATTCTGCTTTTTATTAGTTTTTTAATAAACGTATTTTTTTAATAAAGCAAATAAATTTATTTTTAAAAGTTATAAAATTATTTAATAGCTTTATTTTAAAGTTATAATACTTTTTTAAAGTTTTTTTTTTACAGTTAAAGTCGTAATATTTATATTAAAAATAATTAAATAAATTATTAAAAATAATAATTTAATTAAAATGTTTATTTATAAAATAAAACTATAAGTTACTAACTGTATTACTTTTTAAATAACTTTTAATATAAACTTATTTAATTTAATTATTAATAAAGTAATTTTTATTAATTATAAACTTATTTTTTACTTATTAAAACTATATTTTAAAAAATATTATATTTTTAATAAAATTATTATAAAAAATTAAAACGAGGTTTTTTTTAACGCTATAAGGTTTTTTTTTAAAAGCAAATAATCAATATTTTATTAAAATTAAAATAATTTTTTAATTAATATAAATATTAACGCGTAAATAAGTTATAAAGTTTGTTTTTAATTTCGTTATATAAATTTAAAAAGTTAAAGTAAAGTTATAAAGTTAAACTTTAAGTTTAAAAATAAAATTTAAAAATAGGTTATTTTTTATTAAAATTATAACTGCTTATTTAAAACTTTAAATTTTTTAATTTTTTTTAATTAATAAAGTATTATATTATATATAAACTACATTAATAGCTTTTTTATAATTTTTAACAGTTGTTTTTAAGTTTTAAATTTATTTTTACAGTTTTTTAATTTAAGCTTTTTAATTAAAAAAAGCAGGTTTTAACTTTTTTTAAGCTAATAAGTTATAAGCGTTTTTTAATTAATTTATTAAATTAATAATAATTTTAATTTTTTTATTTAATTAAAATTTAAATAATTAAACTTATTTATTTATAAAGTTAAGTTTATAATTTTATTTAATAATAATTTAATAAAGCGTAAACGTTTAAATGTTATAGTTTATATTAATAAATATTTTAATTTTAAATTTATTAAATAACGCTTTAAAGTTTTAATAGTATAACTTTTTAAAATGTTTAAAATTTATAATTTTATTAAATTTAAAAAAAGCGCTTATTTTTTTAACGATAATAATAAAGTAAAATAGCATTTTTAGCTTAATAAATTGTTTAAAAAAATTTTTACTAAATTATTAATTATTTAAATAACATTATTAAATAAATGTTTATTTTATATAGTATATTTAATTTTACTTTATATTATTGCGTTTTAAGTTTTATAATAATCTTAATACGCAATAAGGTTTAATAATTTAATTATTTTATTTTTATTTATATTTTATATAGTTATTATAATTTTATTAAGTTTTAAAAATTAAAAAAACTGCACGTAATTTAAAATATTTTAAAGCTTAAAAATTAAAGTTTTATTTTTAAGCAGGTAAGTAGTTAACATGTTAGCAAAGTTATACTTAGCATTTTTTTAAGTTTTAACCGCGGCGTTAAGTTGTTGCTTTTTAAAAATTTGCTTAATAAGCTTTTTTTTGCTTTTATTTAGTTTATTTAAATCGATATTAATAATAAGTTTATTTTTAATAAAATAGTTTAATTAATTAAAGTTTTCTGTAAAAATAAAATTATTTTAGTTGCTTATATTGTTAAGTTTAAATAATATTTATTTTATAAAGTTTTTATAAAGTAAAGATTTTTTTTCGTTTTCGGCTATTAAAAATATTAATAATGCTTTTTTAAGCATTTAAAAATAAACTTTAATATTATGTTACGGCAGCGCAAATAAATTTAAAAGCAATATTTAATTTCTTGTACTATTAATAAAAATATTAAAGTTAAAAAAAAAAAAAAAAGCAAATAAAAAATAATACCTTTAAATATAGTTATATATATAAGTAAAGTAAGTACATACTTAAGCTTTTATTATCTTATTAGTTCTTATATTGTTTAAAAAACAATAAGTTTTAAAGCTATGCCATGACACTTATATTAATTAAATTTATAATTTATAATATTTTAATTTAAAATTATTATAATTATTTTAAATTTTTATTAAATTTTTATTTATATTAAATTTAATATAAAACTTTAAATATAATTTTTATATTTTAAATAATTTAATAATATTAAAAAGTATATAAAGCTATATATAAAATATATTTTTATTAATTTAATATAATATAAAGTTATTTAATTATAATTTATTAAAAGTATAGTGTTTTAATAAAAAATGTAAAGTGTTCGTTTTTTATGTCGAGTGACTGTAACCTAGGTAGGTAGGTAAGGCAACTTGATGTGGCCGGCCGTCTGGTATTGACAGGCGCATATAAAGCCGATTCCCATGCTTGATTCCACTCAAGGATAGCCTAAAAGCACCCTGCTCTGTCTCGCATAACCACCATGGATGGCTCTGAGTGCCCGTATCGAAATTCGAAATGCTCTATCTGGCGTTCTTCGGGCACCTATAGACCTGTTTATAAGACGACCTGCCTCCAGCTAAGGTGGGCTACCAAAGGCAAATGCTCTTAAGAGATTCTTCTTCTTTCTTTATACCTTCCATATCTTGATCTAATCACTTCAACATGTCCACTAAATGAAGTCGTGTGGCTATGTCACGGTAGTTAGCGATAAAGAAAGGCGGTAGAGCTAAAGGAGAAACCAGTGACTGAAAAATATCTCGCTGTAGCACTTCGAGGTCAAACCGCGGTTCTGCAGATACGGCGTATTCTTGATGCAATACCTGTCATAATAAGGGGTTGATATGAGGGCTGAAAAAAAGGCCAAGTGCTGACGCTGCGCGCTTATGGCTAGGCATTGTATGTAGGTAGATACACACTTAGCCACTTCGCGCGTTAGGGCCCGTGGACACTGACGCTCATTGGCGATATCCCATGATTCCCTTTAACTACACTGAGTAGAGGAAAACAATACCCTCACCTGCGGTCAGCCCTACAAGGACTAGCTGAAGCAAGGGGTTTCCAAGTTATTTACGCAAGTACTGCGTAGTTTAGCACTTGGCACTCTGCAAGTCCCTTCACTGCCTCAATTACTGTCGTAGGGTTTCTAAAAATTGTTTAGTTGATATCATCGCACTAATAGGCTTATACGTCTTCAATAAGGATCGACTCAACTGTTTCCCCTATAAAAAGGGACTGGGTTATCTCCATAGCATCGTACGGAAAGCATGAATGAAGACTTACCAACACACCGAACATTTAGCACATTGATATTCCCCCCCTCTTAGACAACAATGTACGGCTATAACCAATACCAACCAGCACAATATGCATATCCACACCACCCGGGATCCTATCAGAGAGGGCCGAACTTGAATCCCCAGGGCTGGCCCCCGCGGCATGAGTACCATCCTCCCACATCGTCGCGCCCACCCAGTCCCTACTATCAACCTGCGCTTCAGGGGCAGGTGCTGTTTCTGGACCGCCACAGCGACAGGTCCACGCTCAGCCTCCACGCCGCCGACGGCCGACCTCTATACTCATGCCTAGCCACGAACAGCTCGTCGCTCTCGACCAAGCCAGACTACGTTATCACGCAGGGGGCCTCGAACCGCGACGTGGGAGCCATCCGCTACCACCGCTGGACGGAGACGGGCCTCGACTACTGGACCGTGCGCGGCGTGCCCTCCGGCGCCGGGCTCTGGGCCTGGCGCGTCGCGGCCCTCGACCAGCACCGCGCGCAGTGGACGTGCTACCGCAAGGCCGTCGTCGTTGCCCAGCTCGAGTTCGACTGCGACGCGGGGAGGCCGGGCCCCGTCGGGCGGTGTGAGGTGTACGACGGCGCGCTGCTGACGGTCCCGGCGCGGCTGCGCGAGTTGGACGAGCTCTTCGTCACCGCCGTGGTGGTTATGCAGGGGACGCTTAGGATGTTGGGGCAGACGAAGGCGCGGCACGGGGAGGTCAGGGACTGGGGTAGGCTCGCGAAGGCGCTTGATGTGCTCTCGCTGGCGGACGGCCATGGGGGAGGAGGTGCTGATGGCGGGGGCGGCGATGGGAGTGGTGGAGATGGAGGTGGTGGTGGAGGGGGGGATGGCGGAGGTGGTGCAGCGGCCGCTTGATGATATGTAGATGTTTTTAAACACGTTGTTAATGGTATTGATCTACTGGCAATTCATATCGTATTTGATGAATTGGAATACTATGATTGGCTCATCTAGGTGTTTGACCTTAGGAATATCAATTGTATAGTGTATAAGTACTTGAGTGTATAAGTGGTAATCACGCAATACGCAATAGGTCTCTCTAACACTACTGGTTAAGGTTAGGTACTATGGCTAGGTAGTAGTTTGCAGCTGATGTCGCTAACCGCCCCCACCACATTCGTGACCAGCACACCAAGATACCTAGCTGTTACCGACATTAGCGACATATACAAAAATAGCAACATGTTTTGTCATCCAATCGCCTCTATGGCAAAGTGGCTAATGCGTCGCACTTGTAATTCAAGTTATGCGAAGATCCCTCGTTCGATTCGGGGTGGAGGCAATTAAACATTAACTTTTTGTTCCGTTTCATTTTTTGCACTTCCTGCTATCACTCATTCATCAAGCTAAAGTCGTTGAGAACAACCTGTATAGATGGATAAAATATAGGGCAGAGAGCTGTTAGGGTAGTCAATTCTTTCAAGGTTAGGGGAGTCTTCCCACCTCAGCTCACTCACTGTATGAACTATTTTGGGACTGTGAATTAGATGTAAGAGGTTCTCCAAATATCCCTAAGGATTCGCGAGACGGAGGAATACAGCAACAACCACCACAGTCTTGATTAATTGAGGCCTGACACACTTCTCGACTTAACCTAAAATCTATGCATATTGATATTGATCATTTGCGAAACTGGTGTGCTAAGTGGCGTGTAAGATAGGAAAATGCCGAGTTTAAGTTGATTGATTGCCTTAAGTGGTTGACGATATCGAGTTGATAGAGTTTACCTACCTAAACTATGTAACTACGAGACCGGCAACGTAACTAACTACAAATGAAGTTTCTAATTGTAATGGCTAAATATTAAATTATAGGTACCAGATACTGACCAAATTTTTGATTTGATGGATAGATTCTACCATGCGATGGACATCGGAAGATTTAGAGGTGCGGGTTGTAGTATTGTCGTTGTGAATTATGGGTTTATTCATAACCAACTCCTAACTATAGCATGAAATATTGAGGGATCAATATTTGATACCTTTCAACATACTTCGTTTGGTTACTACCCAAACAACGGACAAAGTGTATCAGTCTAGCCAACGCAACCTCCGAACAAGTGATATGAATAACCTTCAATAGCATTTCGTAACTCGTACAAATGATGGTCTACACCGTGAGAACAATATGCAAGTGCCTCGGCACGGCACCGATACTACAAACACTTATTGGTACCAAAATCCTCCCATGAAGCCACCAACCTAACACTTTAAAACCACCTCAAGTCCAAATCCTGATTCAGAAAAAAAAAGTTGATTATATATATAAGGCGTGTCGTGTGTCTATTTTGTGTATCGTAGGTAAATAAAGGGGAAAGGGGAAAGGGGGAGGGAGCATCGTTTTTTTAAGTGTCCCTATTAATAATTGTTAGTGAGACGCAGTTCAACCAAGGGGGAGGAGGGGAGGAGGGGGTTATCACTAACAGCAAACTCAGTGTCAAGTCGCCGTGGATCCGAGCCTTCAGCGTCACCTCGACCTCGAGGTTCAGGTCCAGCCTCAGCTTCAGGGTGTCGCTCTTGCCGTCGTCCTGGCCCTGCGGCTGCATCTGCTGTTGCTGCTGGGCCTGCATCTGCATCTGTTGCTGCTGCTGGAGTAGCTGCTGCTGCTGGTCCGGCATCTGGGGCATCTGTTGTTGTTGCTGGAGCTGGCCCTTGCCCTTGCGGCCGCGGCGACGGCGGTGTGGGCTCGGCGAGGGCGACACGGACTGCTCGGAGGCGCTCTCGGCGTAGGGGGCGGGGCCGCCCTTGGACTCGTTCTCGGATCCGCTGGATGCCATGGTTGTGAGAGACAGAGAAACAGATAGATAGATAGGAAGGTGTTGTTAATGTTGTTGTTGTTGGTTGTTGCTAGCGTTGGTGTAATAGTTTCGAGCGTGGTACCAGACTGCTCGTGGCTGGTCTACAACTCAGGTAGACGGACATGTTATATACCTACTACGCAGCTCACCTTACATTGACACTCAGCAGTCACATGGTATGTAAGTCAGCCATGTCCCCCTGGTACGGCACTTGTGCAGGAAAACAGAGCATGGGCATACATGCTTATGAGTCCCTCACGTCAACGGAGAAAAGAAACTTGATTTTGTGCTCGTCGAGGGCGCGAGATGATCGAGATTGTGTAAGAAGTTGACGTCGTCTAAGTGCGCTCTGTGGCAGCTCAGTGGCAGCTCTGTGGCCGGTTGTGTGGCCGGTGTGTGGCTGATGTGGGTCCCAGTTACATCATCCCCTGGCCTCCAGCTGCAGGTGCGGCTGATCCCCCCCAAAGCATCTTTGCGTCACCACTTGCATTTTCCCAATTCACCATTCCTCCCCCATCTCTCCGACGCCAGGACCATATAAGTATTTTCGTACTTGTGACGATGTGGCGCCCGCCCGTTCCTTTTTAGTTGCTGAGGCCATTTCACCCATTGGTAGAACAAGAACAACCCCCCCGGCTCTCTCTCTATGTAAAAACTAGGTACTACCAATTTACCTACCAACCCTACATTTAATAGGTACTAGTACCAGTACCAATACCAATACCAGCTTTTGCCTCTACGTCGTGCGCGGAAACTCGTTCATCGTCTGGCGCATCGCCGGCTCGGGACTACTCCAATACACGCGGTCGCCCTGGCCGTTGACAATATGGCTTATTTCGCTGCCCTGTGCGCCATTGAGCCAGACCGTAGTCAAGTGGTGCAGCTTCACCCCCGCCACCTCGGGAACCTCAATCGCGTTCTCTAATTTCGTGGGCGAGTCCCGGAAGTATGAATAGATCCCTAGGCCCCAGGCCTCGTGGCTCGTTACATGGCCGGCTACCTTGTACGAGGCGTAGCCGTTGGTGGTGCCGTTCATCCACGACCCCTGGTCTGGCGGGTCGTAGGGGATCTCGGACTGGTAGAAATAGACCCGCCCGCCGTTGCCGTTCCAGAGCGTCTGGTATTGCTGATGATGCTCGTTAAACAGGCCGTACATGATCACGTCGTTCCCGTTCACTACCACGCCGTTGTTCGTCCGGTTCAAGTGCCACCCCACCCCGGGGCCGTGGTCGGCTCGCCACAGCCATAGCTGGTCGACAACAACATCGTGGCTATTTATGATTATCCCTACGTCGTTGGTGGCAGCCCCCGTCCGCACCGTCAAATCATATAGGAAGGTCGGGTTGGACTTGTGACTTGCCGAGCTCCCTGGGGGGCCGACCTCGACGAGTGATGGCGACTTGACTGCTCCTGCATCGATTATTAAGCCTGCAAGCGTCACACCGTCTACATCAGCCACAGAGATTGCTGGTCTGCCGCTGATGGGGATAAGTGAGGGTTCGCCGAGCCCAAGGACGATAGTACCAGGTCTGGTAACGCGTAGCACATCATCAAGCTTAAAGATTCCTGGTGTGAATAGTATGTGCCGGCCAGAAGCTAGTGCAGAGTTTATGTTTCTCGCGCTTGCTGTAGACGGCTGGGCTATGTAGAACTCGTCTATCGAGATATCCTGTCCGGGGGTGTGTGAGCCATCTATCCAGGTAGGACCCTTCGTGTCGGACTGCAAGCTAGGCAAGAAGACGTAGTATTGGCCTTGTTCCGTGATGCGAAGGTATGGTTTCTCGCGGATAACAGGTGTCCGGTCTATCGTGGTGTAAGGGGTAGTAGGGAAGTTGGCCTGGCTAGGCGCGTCAGAGTCCCCGACAAACACCATGTTCCACACGGCGTTGGCCCAGCTTCCATACTTGTTATTTCGCGACAACCACTGCTGCTGTGAACCGGGCAGGACCTGGTGGTCGACAACCGAGTCAGCCATAAAACCTCCCGACGCCCAACCTCCGGCACCGGTACTTGGATCCACCTGGAACAGCCAGAGACCACCGGAGCTTCGGATATGCATGCGGCGTAGCGGTGCCGCCTGAGACACTGCTATCGTCGTAGTTTTATTCGTAGCATCTGAGGCGATGATAGAGAAGTTCTCAAAAATGCGCCAGAAATTGCAGGTTGCGTTGCGATTGGGCATCCAGTACGCCGGCACATTCACACCGCCGTTGATGAGCACATCGTCAGGGCTCCTGCCCAGCCCCGCCACCTGGGTGTAAAACCCCACGTCGAAAAGAATGTCGTAGGTCCCGGGTTTGAAGAGCAGGGCGTAACGCTCGGTGCCGAATTCGTTCGCTTCCATCTGTCTGAATATCCCGCTTACTTTGCCCTGTATCTCATGTGCCGGCATGCTTGGGTCAAACACGTAGACGTTTGGGCCGAAGATGGTCGCATTCGCGGCCGCGATAGATTTTTGCTGCGCCATCGTGAGGGCAGAATATAATCCAGGTATTTGTGTCATGTTGTTACGTGCGACGTTCCCGTAAGACGTTCGAGAGGTTGTGTGTCTTCTTTCCCACCTTCGTCCCAACTTATGCTCTGGAGCTCCCACCCCGAGATGTTCTTGTTTCCGTACTGGGATGCCTCTCTCATGAGTCGAAGCGAAAGAAAGAAAGAAGGAAAGGAAAGGAAAAATCAGACGTAATCGATTAATGTGAGATGATCTAAGGTGTAGAGAAGGTGATACCGGTGTGAAATCCAAGAAGTCAGCAGAGGTGGGTAACATCTAGTCCAAGGAGCGGGGGGAGGGGGTGAAGACGCTTCAATAGAATGTCCGCATTCCATCAATGGACCCGGTGCGCAATGGGGTTAGGTAAGGTTAGCAACTTTGAAGCTCCAGTCTATCGGTTTATCGTCGACCTAGACCTGGACCACGATTGATTCCCATCACACCAGACATGTCAACTAATAATATAGTACGGAATATATCACATTGCTCTCCTATATTTGGATTACCTTCATAATGATCGTGTTGGCTTCTCTCGCCTCAATGAGCTATGTACCTAACTTTAGACCCGATAAATCTCACATAGCTGTGCTAAATCATATATAATAGATTTAGCCTACACTACATATATCTCCCACAGCCAGAACCAAATCCTGGTCGGTGATGACTTCTTCAAATTACGTGTGAGGGATGTGGGATGTGTCGGTGAAAGACATGCCCAAACTACATAAGATCTCACTCGATTCCCCTCTAGCCCCCGTCGCCCGGCCTGTACTTATCCGTCACCAGCTCGATCTTCTCGGCGAAGAACTCCCTAACGCCCCCTCTCCTCGACCCGGATGCGGGTCCGGCCGGTCCGGGGGTTTGAAGCCCTCGAGCGCCCCGGCGCGGCACCGCCTCGGCGTATGTACAACACGGCCCTTCCGCGCGCGCATCATCATGTCCACGAGCTCCGCGCGCCCGTGCGCCCGTGCACCTCCCGCGGCACCGCGCGTTC